TTACAATATATATCTTTATATATATGTATAATTCTTCTGTGAGTGTGTATGTAACTGAACTTCTCTCAAACAACTGGACCGATTTTTATAAAATCTTTTGTGTGTGTTCAAGGGGATCTGGGAATGGTTTAGATTCACAATTTTGTCCGCTGGACAATGTGTTTTTAATTATTTTTTAATTTATTAGTAGTTGTTGACACAAACGCTTTTTTTTTGACATTAGATTTGACAACTAACTATGTAATATGTTGATCATTCTGTCGCACTTCAAAACACGGAGATTTATGGCTTTAATAGATAAACTCTAAAAATATAAATAAAAAAACGTAACAGATATTCCTTGATTATAGGGCGATACGAAGTTCGCCGGGTCTTCTAGTATATATATATAAACAGGTTAATTCCGAACGTCCATTTGTCGACTTGGTTATTAAGAGCATATAAATCATTAAAAGGTTCGGCAAAAAACTAAAGCCTAAGTTATTGGTAATAATCACAGTAGTAAATCACTAGTAAACCTCAATAGATGAAATACAATGATCAATATCAATTTCTATATTAGTATAATATCAATCAAGTTAACAATCCTAGAAAGTTACATCTGTTATAACCAAATCAAAACGATCTCAGGGTTGTTAAACAAATATCGTTTTAAACCCTTTTAATTATTGAGCCCGAACGCAACTTGACCATTGCTTTTATTACCTACATGTTAATACTTCAGATATTTGTCCGTTGATGATTATAAAACTCTTATCTTTATGTACTCAAAGGTATAAACATTTACTATTCTTGGTATAACTAGCTCATGTCTTCAATTTCATTGAATCTAATATATCTTTGTTAGATTTATTATTATTTCATCACTGACACTAGATATTTTTGTTACGAGATATAAAATGTGATTTAAAAAAGACGGATAAGAGAAATAAAAATATGGAAATGATTATTTAAAATCTAAATTGCACACTTCTATTTATATTAAATTATCCTTCGAATACTTAAGTAATTAATATTTCAATTATCAAAAAAATGTTTAATATTTCTGACAGAATTTATTAGTATAACATTTTATGATCAAAATTCATGAAAGGCGAATGAATCAGACGGACTGACCTACAGTTTATTGGTCCGTAACTAGATCTACGATCATTTCGCTCGTAATGTGTTGCCTAATACAGTGTAATAGGTTCCATTTAGGGTACGGCGATTGATAGCATCGTGACTCACGTCTAGGCTTCCCGGATTTATTTGCCGGTACTTCACATAAGGAATGCTGAAAGCTTTTTTATATTTTCTTTACAATATAAGAATCACAAAAACAAGGCATTTTTTTATATTTGATAGAAGTTTACCTACAATACTTATATAACATGTTACAGATGATATCTTTAAATAAGTGTCAAATATATGCACATAAACAAACAGCAAATATTTTTTACTGTACATGCTGTTATACAGTTATATCTTCTGAAATCTGTACAATTTCATTTACTACCTACTCATATTGCACGCCTACACACGGAATTGATGAGTGACATGGTTTAGCAAACGAATTTTGCATAACCTTTAATATATACGAGTTTTATATGTAAGAGTGTAAGATATTAAGACGTTTATTGAAGAAAGGTACTTATTATTTGATTGCGTTATCAAACTTATAGTATTCAATGTATGTATCTTTGACTTCTCTTATCCGTGATCCCTATGTTGAATCTTGTAGAAAATAAAACATAATCACATATTTTTCATACTTTGATAAATACTAATATTCAACAAAAACGTTCAACAGTAAATAAATATCATACACAATTGCGTTATGACAAAATTAATACCCATCAGAGTCCATTAATCATTGATTTTAAATTCCGAAATTGATATAGGATTTCCAAAAAGTATATATGCATATATATAGAATTATTACAGGCTGTTGATTATATATAAAAAAAATAAAGATATTGAGTTTTTTTGTAATATCTTCATTAATTTCTAAATCATATTTACAATGAATGTTTTGATACAGATAATAATAATTAATGAGTATTTGTTCAAAATACAAAATCATAGTTGTCATTAGAAATAATTAATTCAAATATGAATAACCTGAATATACATACATGACTGAAACGAAAATACAGTTACATTAAAACGCTAACTAATTGTGGGAATCTTAATAATCAATATTAACTCTGCTTTAAGTTTGTTCAAACATTTCAAATAATGATAACTAAGTACCAAAGTATGAAACTGAGCTCAAACACTTTACCAACCTATTAAATTGTAAAGTTTCGCCGAATATGCTTAAAATAGAATTTCAAAGGTTCATTCATCTTATAAATTACTTTGCTTATTCTCGTTTTCTAATTGTTTTACAGACTTTAATACATATTCAACTATAAACGACTATTTATGAACAAACATTATTTATGTCAACCTTCAAGCTTAAACGACTTCTCTGCTTTTAAGAATTCCAAATAAGTTCTGATTTTAAATACCAAAATTACGTTTGAAGACACTCTGTTTGGAGACTTTAAATCGAAATCAATGACATTTCTTATCACCTGAGCACCTTTGACTGAACGTTGGTTGCGTAAATTGGATAGGTGGTTGTTCATGCTTTAACATATAGAAGGGTAGATAAAGGGGAAAATTACATGTTACCCCAATTACACCTTCACCCTCTGAGTTTAAGATTGAAAATCGTATGAATGGAAAGTTTAATTTATTAAATTGTTTGACTTCGCTGTTGATATACTATTAATTCAAAACGAACGAATCTCTAAACCAGTTGATATATTTTTTAAAGCGTTTACATGTATGTAATTCTTTCTTTTCGTTAACATGTAATTCTTGATGAAAATAATAGTTTGATATTTTTAGCGTGCATAGTTCAAATAAAGTAATGTAAAAATCTCTTTAATATTTACCCCTAAACTATTTTATAGTCCTACCGCATCATAAAATTATTTCACAGTTTTCATTAATTTTAAATCAATATGTATTATCTAATTATTAACAAATGTCTCTTCTGATAACGTGTTATAAAATATTGCTACAAATTTGATTTATGAGTGTTTTTGTTCTCAGTAATGTTTCATTTTAATAAAATATGAAACATGTTTAATATTGTAAATAAAGATATAGACAGCCCGCAACTACTTCCAAAAATATACTTTAATGCACCAGTTAAACTCCCAAGAAGGCTCGTGTATACTCCATTCAATACAAAAAAAAATGCAAAAGTAATCTCGCTCATTATTCACCTTTGAATAGAAAGACATTAAAGTTTAACTCTCTTTTTAAAAATACTAATATTGATATATTCTCAGGATGGCCTCTTGAATTCAAAAAAACAATTAAAAAATATTTAATTAAGCTTAGATTTTACTTGCTAGTTGTTTGTTCTTCATGCACTGTATTTAAAACAAAATGTTAACTTTGTGATTACATGCACTCTGTTACTATTTCAGCATGTAGTGGTTGCCTGTAACTGAGGTAGCACATAGCATCATAATTGTAATAATTTAAATGGTTGTATTTGTGTATACTTTGTTGGCGATCCAATAAATAAATAAATATAATAGAGAAGACGGCTATAGAATTAGAGGCTAAATGAAGAATATAAAGGCTTTGAAAATAATTCTAACATTTCCACGTACCTAAATAGTTGGCATAATATATTCTTTTTCTTCATATTTTTGTCTTACAAATTTCTGAGTCACAATGATCTCGCGTTCATGCCCATTCGTTTTTTTCCTCTCAAACTTTTTACATATGCCCTTTCTGCCAATAATATTACCTCACCTGTATAGTATTTATATCACTGAGTGAAAAAAATAAAAGAAATATATTTTATAAGTTATAATTTAATAACATATCTACAACATTGGTCTATCCCAAAATTTACATAGAACATTATCTTTTTAAGATAATATTTATGTTACTAATTACATTCTTATAAAGAAACAAATATTTTTATATATATGTACAATAATTATTTTATGTTTTACACATAATTTATGTTTTCCTTTATATGGCACAACATAGGTCAATTTTTCGAAATTTTTACTTCTTGTTATAATCAAACAAATTTTTTAAATATTTTTTGTTAAGAAAATGCCACTATAATGTTTGGCCTACAAATATTTACATTCAATTAAAAACAATATATTTACATCACTTATTATAATGGGTTAGTGAAATTTATTAGATAATTACGAGTTCTAATTCTTCAGGTTAAATTCGAGATTCCTCATACTAATGACAGTAAATAAGTTTTAATATGGAACATTCTAGAAAAGTTTTAGTAGGTATATGAGGTCGTAAAAATTTATTACATTTTTATGGAAAACCAAATTTCTTGTAGGGCAGACATTTCAGTTTTTATATTATAGTATAAAGACCAACTATTAAAACTTACCTGAATTGTACTACAAAAAATAATGTATTGCCATTTATAAAACAGAGAAGAGCAGAGATTAAAAATGAAATTAAAGCATTTAAAATACAAATTATTTACAGATGTACTATCAAAAATAAAAGATCATGTTTATTTTAGGAACGCCAGATTAAAATATAAAATAGTTTGAAAAGAAGTTGTATAAGTATAATGGCAAGTAATTTCAATATATCTGGTATATCACATGACCTCTTTATTCCAACAACTTTTTTCCACTACATTAACTCTTCAATGTCTTAAAAAACAGTTAAATGTTATAAGTGTAACGAGTGTAACAAGTCTTGTTCTTGTTAATAACAAATTTAAAGGAAATTCATGTTATATATAAAGCTATAATCTCATATTTATACAAATATGACTACAAATTACAATTTAATAATATTAAAATAACAATATATACATAATAAACCATATGTTCAGTCAAGTAATAATTATGTAAAATATTCTCAAAGAATAATTATTAAACCAAAGATTAGTTTGCACTTTTTCTATCAACTAGATAGATAGTTTATATGTATTGTTCACACACTTTAATAAAAGTTCAACAGAAACCTGGATTGGTATGTTCTATGACACATCTCTTGCAGTACTTCTTTACAGCTCTGTAACCTCTTAATGTGACCGGCGTGTCTTGTATGTTTAACTGTGTCAAACCTCTACAATAATACGCAACAGCTTCTAAACCATCATCCCCGATGAGCTCACAGCCTCTCAACGCCAGCTTCTTTAGATTCGGACAGCATCTGGCTAGAATCTGTAAATTACATCAATATATAATATAACTTAATATAATAAAACAGTACCTAGTATTTTGGCTACGAAATCTCTCATGCTTATTTTCACATAACTGTTAATTTATCAACCAAATTATTATCCATAGTTTTGGAGGTTATAAGAAAAAAGACATACACATAACGAAATAATAGTAGACGCATCATAATATTAACTATATAAATATGCTTATTTCAATTTATTCTGAACATACTTCTGACAGTAAATTAAAACTCTATCAAGTCTATGCTTCAAACAAAATGAAATAACCGCAACCGTCTCTAAAGCCTTCATCTTCCTTATATATACATATATGTATTACCAAGTCATAATTGATATTATCGAGTACAACTTCAATCAACCACAGACCTGTAGCCCAGCCTCCGATACATCAGTAGCGCCAAGGTCCAGTGCTCTTAATCTTGAACACCCCCTGGCAATAGCTTCGGCTCCATCATCACCCAAGGCCCCACAACCACGAGCGTTCAAATAACGCAACTTATAACAGCGACGTGCTAGAGTACGGATCCCTGAGTCTGATACCTTGAAAGGAATAAAAACTTTGTTAATACGTGATTTTCTTTACTTTAAAAGTAATATTCACGCTGACTTCGGGTCTGTTTTGACGATACCTCATTTAGTAGGCGTGAAATAACAAGACTATAATAGCTAGAGTCTGTGAATTGAGTATCTGTTACAGCAGTGAACAATAAAATCAAATGACATAGTATACTAGGCACACTACTTTGAATATAAGCTCGTTAAGTTCTAGTACAAGTAATAGATAGAACAATGTATGTTTCTTTTATTATAGGCAATAGGTAGAGAAATATACATATGCATTAATTTGCCTTTATTATCTATGTATATAAAAGAAAGTTGTTTTAGTTGTACTGTTTATAACTTAAGCGTGGCTGTAGGGATATACTTAAAAAGGGAAATTTCTTTGAACCAGGAGACGGACGTAGGATATTTAATTCTGTTCGGTCAAAACAGAAAAAAACTTAATGCACTCCAACATCTGGTTATCTACGGCCTTTAGGGCGGAATACAGTTCGCCCGGTCAGCCATACATACAATAATAATTCAAAAAAATAACGCGGGCGAAGTCGTAGACAAGAACTAGTAATTTATAAAATGCTGAATATTATACCTGAGAACATTTAGCAACGGATAGGTATCGTAACGCTGGTCCCAGTTTCGCAAGTTCGTATAAACCAAAATCCGTGACCCCTGTACAGTCAGACACACTCAGTTCTTTGAGAGCGCAATATGAAGGTATCCATCTGACTCCTGCATCTGTAAAAGAATGATTAAATTATCAATACTTGTCCTTTAATTGTTATATCAAAGCTTTCTTAATAAAATCAAACCTAGGTCATAAAATTTTAAATAATATTGAGACTCGAAATGCGAATGAAATATCAATTAAGGGAAACCACTATAGAGACAAAACCTCATATCATTCAATGGATTCACCGTGCGGGTGACGGGTCCATTGCGTCGTAGGGAGAGGAGCTTCAACAATGCCTATGACTTGCGACCCAGGTGTAGGTTTAATGGGCCCATATCTAACGCTCACTTCCACCGTCCAAACTCTTCTCTCTACCTAACCAAATTTGAAAAACCCTCCTAGGTCTTCCTTCGAAGTACGTTCCAAAACTAAATTGATATGAGTTCTGGACAGGACCAAGCTATTACACCCATAATGCGAAAGTTCTCAAAATATGAATAGTTATACAAAGATTTTTGTAGTAATATACCTACCAGTGACTAGAGTACATCTCCTGAGATAAAGGTACTGTAATGAAGGGCAGGTGTGTAGGAGAGCGCAGAGGCCGGCGTCAGTGACAGAGGTGCAGTCAGTAAGGTCTATGTACTCTATAGGAGGCCGCCTATTGGTAAGACGACTTTCCAGCCAATTCCACTCTGGCCAATCCATATTTGGACAGCCTGAAATAAAGGAATCTTATTAATAATAACCATTTTTATACGTAAATTGTCATACATGTAAATATTCATATTACTAAAATTATTTTGTTTTGTGGATACAGATTTTAGGTGTGTTCATAGATTTCATTTCGCAGACTAAAATACGTTACAGATATTTCTACTTTTATATATATTACCGAAATCGTCGAAATAAAAGTATTTTCATTGAAATTCAGAAAATTGGAAGTAAAAAGTAATTACCAAAAAAAATAACCTATGAATGCAATAGATTTTCATTAAAGTGTAATAGAATATACATATATGTATTGTGTTAACTTGTAAGACTCTTTACCTAATTGTTTGACCCTGAACATAACTCCATAGTCATTATAATTAATTTAAAGAACTGTTTTTCTAGAATAAAATACAAGATACAAGAACGAATACTATTAAAAATATCTAAAACATCTAAAACTATAATTATATTAGGAAGCTGCCAATAAGTAACAAAGGTAGGATAGAAGCCACAAAACTAGATAAATATATTGGGAGTTATAATGAAAATTTAAATTAGATGTCTCTTATCTTTGTTAGTCTATTGTTTTGCTAACAAAAGGATCTTTATACCTTGAATCCTTATAACTTGTTTGAAACAAAAGAATATAGGAATATAATCTACATTTTATTATACAATCTTAAAGCAGTATTTAATAAGGGTATACAAGATATATGTACACATTATATTACATAAGATTGTATATATAAAACCTTTAAAACAAACTGATATAATAATGTAGGCGGCTAGTAATTGCTTTTATACAAAATATGATCAAGAAAACAACTTTTCAGACGGTTAAATTGTTATTAAGGAATAAGATATAATATTTCAATTATATTTATACTAAATTAATTTTAAACGGTTTTAAACACCAACGTATTAATTCCAACAATAATTTTATATTTATATTTCATCAGATATATTATAATGTTTGTAAAAATATTTATCTAAAAGATCTGGAGGCCAAATATCCGTTAAAAAGCGTGGAGTTGTTAGAAGGTAAAATTACTACCCGTACAATATTGTGACAAAAAACAATTTTGTTTTAAATATTCTTTGTGAATTCAATACTGTACGATACTTTTATTTGGAAACTACATTTTTTAAATATAACTTTCTTGAGATAAGAATCACTTTTTTATATTTTTCGATTCGGCCAAACGTTTCAGTTACTTTGTATCAGCCGTGATCCCAATAAGAAATATATTGTTACATTGGCTCCATCACTACCATACTTATTACAGTTTATTATAATCCTCAGCATTATTTTTACGAATGATTATAATTAATTACAATACTGAACCAAAATAATTTTGAAGAATATGTATTTGAAAACTTTAAATACTGGCTGCAGCCATTTTGTAACACATTACTGAAAGAAATGCTGAACATTGAAAAACAAATCTGAAACTGAACATCGAACCATATACTTACTTATATACATATCGAAAAAGTCCTACTTTTATTTAAAAGCCTAAGAAATCTTTTTTTTCTCTACATAATCTACAAATTCTTAATTATATTTTATATCCGATATCCTAAACAAAACACAAATTTTATTTAAAATTAATAATACCTGTTAAATCAACGTGGCGCAGGTCAACTAAATCTGTGATAATTGGGGCCAACGCTCTTGCGTCCACCGTATTTGAGTTCGTTAAAGCTAAATGAGTTAAGTTCCTGAAGGTCGCCGCTAATAACTGTGCTCCAGCCACCGTCACCTGAAATATGTACGGCAATAAATATCACCTGTTTACAGAGTGAAATGATATACAATAAAATTACCTATATCATTATTACGAATTGAGAAGTTATTATTGGAATGGTACTAAGTAAATATGGATGAACTTACTGAAGTTTAACAATAAGTAATAGCTATTCTTGACAAATTAAATAGACCAACAATACAATTAATGTAAATGAAACTAATATTTTTCGAATGTACTATGCGATTTTTGTTAAAAAAACTACATACTCCCGGCGTTTCGGTTACTTAACACCAACCGTGATCACGGGCGGACGAGATGTGAGTATCATAATTCACGTAACTTTTCAACATATTAATATACTTTTTCACCAGATTTTATCATTCTTATAGTCAGGTATTAATAAATATTGACTTACAGAACAGGTCTTGGACCTCCATTCCCTAACAGCAGTAACGCAGGGTCCAGCTCTAGCACCCGCGCAGCGTGCAGCAACCTCCAAAGGACCAGAAGCCCTCACTCTCCTCCAGGGTTCAGGTCTCGCAGTCAGCCTGGCCACGAAACGAGACCAACGTCTGCACACCCGCGACATACGACATAAATCTGACACCTAGAAGAAATTTTGGTCCATTACAGCTTAAACTAAATTAAATACCTGAATACTGACTGTTTTGACATTTACAAATGAACTTAAATGAACATGACACTTCATTACTGTAACTAATGAGTCAAAACTATGTGATGAATGTGACAGAGAAATCAAATATTGTTGCACCAAAGCCTTTAGCATGAAACATATTAAAGTTATTTTTTTTTTAAGTTAGTTCTCTTTATAAAAAGAATTTTACTCGGTCATGGGCTCTTATATTCTCCGGATAGAATTGTCTTTTCAACCAACTTGTAGCCTATTATCTAACCTCTAGGTAGGAAAGTATCTTCAGCCACAGAGCATCAGTGAGCGTGTTATCCCTCCTCCTCCTTGGTGGGCCGCAGTCAGCCAGGGTGTGGTAGCCCTGGTCGAGACTTAGCTCACTCAAGTCCGCAGCCAAGGACAGGGCAGGCTCGGGAGGGGGGGGAGGCCTTCGTCTCGCCCCACCACAAACACCCGGCCCTGAGCAACTCCCGCTTGACATATTGCAGGATTACTGGAACAATTTATTTGTTTTCAAAATTACTTTGATTTTAAGATCTATATTTTTAATCTTGGAAAACAGTTTTGACTTTTCAGACGATTTACAAAAAAAAACTGACTGCAAAAAGCAAACTTTCATTATAATGGCTAAATAATAAACATGAAATCAATACTAGGTAAGAAAAATTCACAATAATAATAGCAATTCCAGTAATGGGTTCAAAGATTGTGTTGTTTATTGTCTGTAAGGATCGATGAGACTTATGAAAGTTACTATTAAGGTTTTATATGATACGTCGTTGGGCCTAACTTATCTAACAAAAACGCTTTACGTTAATTATAAAGAATTTGAGTAACTATGTATATGTATATCTTTTCCACAAAATTAAAATATCTACATAATCCTACCTGCAATTTCAAAATTAAAGTATGAATAAAGCCAGCACGTTGTATTATATCTCAGGAGCTTAGGTAAAATTCTCTAGGTCAATCTCTAGACCACTCTATTCCGAGGTCAATTGATCGGTCGTAAATTATTATTTGATCATGTAAAATATGATAGGATAAGCTTTAGAGAGATTCTCTGGAGGATTCAATGTATTTTTCTTTTACAATATTTCGATTTTAAATGTTACTTAAATGAAACTTTCGTTACTTAAGGCTTGTAAATAAAGTTTATATCATTACTGTATTTAAGATATTTAATAGAAATATTACAAATAGAATTATATATTAATAAATGTCCTTTATTGATTCATAAATATTGACAATTTGTAAACCGGCTATGTTATTCAAATTGTTTACATTAAGTGAAACATTTCAAATGAAATATCCGCTATGTATATAATACATAATTATATTTTACTTAATAAGATACCGTATTTGATATAATATTTTATAATTATTAAATACAAAATAAAGAAAATAATTTAAAAGAATTGGAAGTTGTACTTAAAAGAAATATTAAGTTTTAGCGGGTGAAAAATATTTTTCGGCAGTACATTGAATATGTAGAAGCATATTCAATTAATACACAAGTACATAAGGCGAAATAACAGTCATTAGGAATTTATAACACATCCGCTAAGTCGTAATTGACTTTCTCAAGTGATCGCCAGAATAAAGTTGCGTGTTGAACAAGTTAAGAACAATGTATGTAGCCATCTGCTTCATTAAGACAAGCAATTTAATATGAAAGTATAAGAAAAAATACTAGCAATCTATTTGCAATTTATAATTTTCATACAAATTGCACAGCAATTACGATTATTTCTAGACGTTGAACCGTATTGTGCAATTACCGGCTAGTATTTACAATGGCTATATAAATCAATCGCTTGTCATTCCAGTGCAACATCAAGAAACAATCAAAGGGGGTCAATTATTTGACTCTACGACAAATATCGCATAGATTTGACGGATAAATCTAGATATTTTTATGTAGTATAACAAAATCCTATCATTAAAGTAAATTATTTATTTTAATATATTCATTTATAGCCTTATAAGAATATGTATTGCTAGTGTTTCTGCCTTTGGCTAGAATTAAATTACGCTATCTCTTTCATATAATGATTAACAGGCCTGCGTTTATCCAAGTTGAAATTTTGGAGATCAAAACAAACTTATCAATATAAATAATATTATAATCGTTCCTATTTACATATAACATGCAAAACCAATTATAATTATAAATGAACAAACATAATTATTTATTAATGTATATATTTAATGGTAATTAAATATTTTACTGTGCAACAAATATCATACAACTTTATGACTATTTAAAACCATTTGATTATGATAACCGCGTAAAACACGTATAAAATCTAATAGAAAGTTAATTTTTATGTACAAATAACAATGAAAATTCTCGTAAACAGTTATATTTTATTTCAATCTCATATCAATTATGAACTAACGTTGTTTGAAGTTATGAGACTGTCGTCATTAATAAAGATTTCATTAGGCTCGAACATTATAAAATCAGTTGTACGATGTTAAATGGTAAAACTTACGACATTTATATATAAATTGGATAAAACAGCTGGTAAAGTTACACAACTATAAGTTATTAAAGTTTGTGAAACACTAACAAGGATATCCGTTGTTAATAACATAAAATTAATGTATCTGATGTATGAGACTTAGTTTTTGCCAGCGGCGTCACCTGAAGATAACACAATTATATCATAGGTGAATGACCTCCATCGCCTACGTCCCTGTCTTCACTATGATTATAAAACGATTTATTGCACTCAACCGTTCGGGAGACTGATGTCGATAAATAAGACAAAGCGGTTATATCTATTATAATGGACCTTATGTATATTGTTATAAGATACAGGATCTCATAAGGTTTTTCAATAAAAAACTACTTACCTTTAAGTCTATCCGCGATCCACCTACGCAAGGTATTTGCAATTTATACTGTGGATATGGAGACAGAGGTTTGGTAGTACTAGTAATGTACGGAGATTGTTACCCATTTTTTATATTAATCCAATATTGAGAGGATACAGAGATTTTTTCTTAATAAATTGAGTATAATGCCATCAATAATATCATAAAACCATGTAGACAAACCTTTCTACTGAATCAATTAAAAATATATGAACAATTTATGTCTCTTGTGGGTAGTTATAATATGACTCAATCTAGAAAAGAAACAAGAATGTTAACTAGAAATAAACCTTTACATATCAGATAAATATTTAAAGAATAGGTAGATGATGATAAAGGAAGCAAAATACACGAAAATATATAGACTAAAAGGGTAAATACTGTTATGTATTTTATTATATTTTGTCTATAAGTAGCTATACCCGCGACTTTGTGCAGGCGCAATAGTATTTTTTTATCAGATATTTTTAGGGGATAAAAATTAAAACTAAAATGAAAACAGACTTAATAACTACATCTAAAATTTTATCAAAATCGCTCCATCCATTTAAAAGTTTTGAAAATAACAAATGTATATAAATAATGTACCCAAACATAGACACTTGAGTAAAATGAGATTATTTGAATGTTATAAATAGATACTTCAATTTAATTTATTTTTATAAATTCTAGGATTACATTTGACCTTGTCTGAATCCCAGCATCTCACACAACTTTTATTGTGATAATATATATTTTTTTTATAATTTTGACGAACAATATAATATTCTTTTATTGTCTTAATATTGTTAAATCTTTACATGAAATATTAAAGTTAAATATGAGGCGGAAAATAGAAAAATATTTTGTAAATTCAAAGAACTAGTAAATTCAAAATCGCAAGAAGAAAAAAGTAGGTATAAATGAATTACGTTACTTGTTCTTAAAAATTTAAACATCCATTGAGCGAAAAAAAATATAAATAATTTTGTCGTATTTTATACTAAACCTCTTTTAATAAAGGAAGAGGTTCTCATTTCATTTTGATTGACTCTTTTCTATAACAGATTTGTTATTATTTTTTGTTGTTTTCGAATCAACTTTTTATGAATCCATTTTATTTATTTTTTATTTATCTTATTTAGTCTCAAAGTCTTAATATTTGTATACGAGAGTTTAACATGAGTCATGAACATCTCTCACCACGATAAGGACCTCATACTTTTGGCAAAGTTACGTCATATTTAAAATTCCTAAGCAGATTTCAACTGTTTTTTTTTAGGTTCCATAACTTAATTTTATATCTAATGAAAAAAAACTGGTTAGCACTCCATGTCTTCACTTTGTGGGTTCCGAGTCCATCAGTACAGGGAAAAGAGCTTCGACAGTGCCTGGGACTTGTGACCCAGGTGTAGGTTTAAGGGGCCCTATCTAACGCGCGTTAAACGCTCACCTCCACCGTCCAAACTACTCTCGCTACCAAAATAATAATAAGAAAGAAAAAATATATTACTTTACTTGTTAACTAAGAAACTTGTCAATTTTGTTACTGTTTATTAAAACTAATCAAAAGTATTTGGATTGTTAATTGCCTAGATGAAAAAGCAAGAGATTTTCAAAGGAGGTTTAATAAAATGCTATGTTTAATACATTATTTTTGATCTTTATCACAAACTTTGAAGTTCCCAGTCCCCAATTAAAAGCGAAGTTAAAAGGAAAATCTGAACTTACTAATTAAGATACAGCCAAGTTTTTATGGAATTGACAAATTAACTTTCTAACAACCGGAACGCTTCATTGACGGGGTTATAAATTTGTATTTAATATTTAGATTATATTATCGATAAACTGTTATTAAAATATTTCTAATAAGAAATATTTTTATAGTATAGATGAAGTGACGATTAACAAGCGATTTCAAGATATTAAAATTCTAAAAAGTATACATATTTGTTATTTTATGCAAAAAGAAATGTAGTTAAAATAATCTGGTTTGTGTTAAATTTACCAGTAAATGATGAATATTACTTGTATATCAATAAAGTAATCCCAAAAATTGCATGTAACTTCCATTAAAATCAATGAAATAATAATATTAATAGGTAACATTTCATTCTTATAAACGTAACTCGTAAATATACAGAATAAAAATAGAAATTATCTATCCGGAATACTACTTCTAGACCTTTGAAAGAATAAATTTATAAAAATTATTTTTTTAACACAATTTGAAACTCAATTAGAAATAAGTAAACTCATTTTAAATTTATAATTCCGTAATACCCACAGAAATATCATGGACGGTTTAAAATTTGAATTTATAATATGTAGGTTAATAATAGGTACACGTCAAGATGCAATGGCGCCAGCATTCACTGGCCCACGCGAAGCCTTGTAATTTAGTCTATATTAGATCTATTATATTAAAGAAGGTTTAAAATAAACAAATCTATTTAAAGGAAAAGCTGTTTTCGTACCTTTTATTCTCAAAATATTCAGTTTTTGTTATCTTCATACAACGCTGGCATTCCACTGTTAGGATTTGAATTTAAAACGATTTTTAAAATTTTTATCCGGAATAGAGGAAGCACTTTACTTAATGGCCACTAAAGATATTAT